CTTGAGGCTAGCAGTTGTCTAATTCATTCTGGGAATAGCAGAAAGGCCATTATGGTGACACAAAGGGAGCCCAGGAAGGTAAATGTAGGAGACTAGGACAGGAAAGTGTGAGCGACCAGTTCACGTCCGGCCTTGTAGACCGCTAAAGGACATGGGCTCTTACTTGAAATAAGATGAGAAATCAGTGAAGGCTTTTGAGCAGAAGAGAGACACGATCTGTCACAGATTATATAGAATCCCACTGGCTGCTCTATGAAAAATAACCCAGAAATGCAGTTACTTCAATGTACAGATTTTTCTCGATAAAAAGTATCACATTGCTCATTTCATCATCAGTTTTCCACCAAGTAACTACTATATGAAGTTTGGTCAGCAAAGCTGAAGATCTTAATTTTTAGGTGTGGAGTGTGTACAGATATTAACACAGCGGTAGCATGCTCGAGCATAAGTAATGTTTACTAAAGAAACAGGACTTCTTAAACCATCCTCCCTTGGGAACTCAGAATGCTTATTTGCTTATTAAAAGCTTTGGAGAATCCTTAAATGGATTGAATCCAAAGACTTCTAACCCTATCCTACCATGAAACTTTTTTTTTTTTTTAAACACATGCTTTGGTTTAAAACAAACGGGTTCAAATAAAAGCTCCAACAGCTTCTGGGCCTCTGAACTTTGAGTTAATTATTTACTCTTTTAACTTCTACTCTAAATTGACATAATAATACTACTTCACTTGATCATGGTGAGATTTAGATCAGATAATGTATGTAAAGGGCCCCAAACAGTGCCTTCAATTAATACTACCTCCCTGTATCCTCTCCTGTATCTTCAAAAACTAATCATTTGTTAACATGAAAGGATTAAATTCTCGGGAGACCAGTTGCTGCTAATATTTAAGGACCCAGGCTCTGTCAAAAGAATTTAGGAGTGTAGCACCTCCTTTTAGGACATCTCTAAATGCCCAAGATGTTGAGATGCTAAAAGGCACAGCTACAGTAATTCCACAGCAAACGTAAGTATATCATAGTTTATGTTTTCTAATGAGCCTTACAGAATTTTAATGAGGCTGGAGTACATAATTAGGCGGGAGCAATGGGGTTCTATCCTACTCTTTTACAATATTTTCTCAAAGTGTTAAAAACACTGGCCCCATTGACAGCGCCTTAGTCTTCAACTAAGTGAGGATGAACATAAAGTCTTCCTATGATTTCTGATTTGGAGCACATAATTACATGTTCTAAAGAGCAGAGAAGCAAAAAAACTAAATTAATGCTGTTCAAATGCAAGAAACTAAATAGACCCAGCTTCTTGAAACATAGTTGATGTTCCAGCAAACGTGAATTTATTTTCCTTTTATTAGGGTTACTTTAGATTACTATCTGAGATGGAATTTTCTTATATATCCCAACTTAGAAAAATATTAAATTATTTAAATATTCTTCTTAGTTTATCAATTTAGATACCAAGTCTTGCACAGATTATTCAACTATTTCCTGTAAAAATTGCTAAACAAGTTGTTGTACCCTGAGGGATGGGATCCTGGAGTATTCAGCACAGCCTTAGTGTGCCCTGGATATATCATGCTGCTGCTTGCCAGATCTGCTGGGACTTCTGGCTCACCTCCCAGGCTCAGTTTGATTCTAAGGCTTCTTGCTAAGCAGAGGGGAGAGAGAAAGAGTTCTGGTTTGTAGTTTTCTTAGGAACTCTGCTCCTCTTGATCTGAATAAGTGCTATCTGGAGTCCCTGGAGAACTCCAGGGAATTTTGTTATTTCCTGAGTTCCTGTGGCTACCTCTGTGAAAGATAACATCAGATCAGAGCCACCCAAGAGACCATTACTACTCTAGAATTTTGACTATCAAAAAGCCCCTATTCATGGGACTCCTGGAGTGTGTTATCTATAGGTTTCTCCAAAATTCTCAAGGGAAATCCTGAATTTTAGATATCCCGAATTTCATCAGCTCCAAATGAGACCAGAATTCTTTAAATGGAACTTTTGAAGCCACCACTTCTTCCTATCACAGTGTTTGGAATGGAGTTCCTGAGTGCAAATGAAAATACTTTCTCCCTTACCTTGCTCTTTGTCTCCCCACCAGTCTGGAATGAGTCAGAGTTCTCTTGTATATGTTTGAATTGCCACAAGGTCATTCTCTATCCCCGTGTAAACACTCAGATTTGCACATGCATTCACACAGACACACTGAGCATTTCATGCATTCTTCCAGATAATTTAATGTTCAGGAGCAAAAGTGGAAAGATGACAAGTTGCTATGATTCATCCACATCCAGTAATGTACTAAGCTGTCATTGAATCCCATGGTACTTTGTTTTTGCTTTTTTGGAGAGATTCCACTCTGCAGCCTGTTTTTTTCTTTGTGTATCTCTCCTAAGAGTGCTGAGGACCTGGTGAACAGTATTTTATTTGTTTCTTTCCCCTAAGCACACTTTGCTGTTTCTTGTACACAGATAATGTTCACTAGTGTTTTCATGGGTAAGGGTGAGTAAAAGGAAGTCAATACAAAAGTTCTCAGATGTGTTTGTTATAGTTTCTTAATGCCCTTTGGTTTCTTTGTTTGTTTGTTTTTGTTTTTGTTTTTGAGACAGAGTTTATGTTACCTTCAATAGAGTGTCATGGCATCATAGCACATAGCAATCTCAAACTCTTGGGTTTAAGTCATTATCTTGCCTCAGCCTCCCAAGTAGTTGGGACTACAGGCGCCCACCACAACACCTGACTATTTTGTTGTTGTTGTTGTTGTTGCAGTTGTCATTGTTGTTTAGCAGGCCCAGACCGGGTTCAACCCGCCTGCTTTGCTTTAGTGTATGTGGCTGGTGCTCTAACCACCAAGCTATGGGTACCAAGCCTCCTAATGCCCTTTGAATACAAGCCCTTGTCTTGGGATGCCACTTTTACTGATTTAATAATGGACAGAAAAAAGACTCATTGGATGATGAGGCAGGAGAAACAGAAAGGACCGACATATGTGAGTTGGTTATGATAGTTCCTTCCCATCAGGAGACTGATCAAAAGTTAGTTATTGAGGATACTTACTGCTGACTCTCTCAGGTGTTATCATCTCTAAGGGTAGAATAGAAAAGTTGAGAAAAAAAAGGTGATATTAATATGATTTACACACCATGACAACAACATAGATGGTAAAAGAGATCTTAAGAAAATCTTAGCAAAATTCCAAAGAGCAGGAACTATACTCTCAGGAATATTGATTGCAATAAGAATCTTTAATCCTATGATAGAATTAATGTACACAATTATGATCTAATAAAAAAAGAATCTTTACACATATTCTACTTTATATTTAAAAGGACATATCTTTTACTAAGTAGATGTTTGTAGTCTTTAAAGCACACTCAAATTATATGAAGCTTTAAAGGATTTCTCTCTCTCTTTCAAGTACAGCACTAAGTATTTATTTATTTTCTACCTCTGGGTAATCTTACCTTAAAAGCATATTTTATTCTAAGAAGAAAATATATATACATTCCATTTCTTACTAAATTTCCTTTCACAAAGACCAAATCAATGTATGTTTGCCAGCTTTGATTGAACATTCTTGGTTTTATTGCTGGAAAGATTTTGGTTGCAGTCTTTGAAATTCTTATCTCCAGCCTGTTTACTGAATTTTCAGTCGGCTTTCTGAGGATTAAACTATCTTTCACTTTCAAAGATTGGTGCTATTAACCAGAGTCTCCACAAAACGTTACTTTAAGGTCATTGGTTATATTAGCAGCAACCGAAATAAATGTAGGACTCCCTTTTAAAATTTTATCTTTCATTAGGTAATAAATGTGCTCAGTTAAAAAAAACAGAGATGCACCACAGTATATAGAAAAGAACAAACCCTCTTCTCTGCCCCCATGCATTGGGCAATTTTCTCCTCCAGAAGCAAACGCTGAAGGCAGCTTCTTATATATACGACTACAATTGTTTGGAAGTTACTGTATGTAACTTTGTAGAAATTTATGAATAAAAATAATAGCTCTAAGTACTAATATCTGCGATTATTGAGCACTCAGCATGCTAGGTGCCTAACGCACAGTCTTATTTAATAGAAAAAAAAGAAAAATGAGTGAATGAATGATGCCCATCAGATGTGTCAGGTTTGTTTTACTTTGGGTACGTTTTGTTAAAACATTAACATATGTCAACAACCGTATGTCTCTCCTTCAGAAGAGGAAACAGACCAGGCCACAGGCTCATAAATGGCAGGGCTCATAATGGGTACATTGGGCGCCAAAACGTAGGCTCCTTGCTTTTGAAATGTTCAATGGATTCTCAAAACTGCAAACTCTGAGGTATCAAGGATGTTTTCCCGCATTCGCCCGCTTCCTTAATCACTTTCCTATGGTTAACTGTCCAATGTGTAAAGTCTCTGAAGTTGAAGGAGAGGCCTTCATATAAAACAGTGAAAAGATCCCCGGGGACAGCCCCAGGTCCCTCAGATTGGATAGCCTTTCTATGGGACTCCCAACTCCATTTTAAAAGAAAGGGATTGTTGTCATAGAGTGCCCATCTATTGTTACATTCTCTCTATCTCCTATACGAAAGGTCTGTAGCTCAAATTTGACTTTTTTTTTTCAAATGGGAATGAGGAGGGTTGAGGGTAGAGGAGAGTTTATTCCAATCCTTGGAAGCGGTAAGGAAGAGGTTAAGCTGGACCAGGAGGATTTTTGAAGTCTTTGGCTGGGAGGTTCCATTTGGAGAAAGGTGCGGGGGAGATAAGGGGTGGCGAGAGAAACAAGACAAGTTCTTATTCGCTTGGATTTCCGATCCTGAGCAAGATGATTCTCACCTGAGGGAGTAGTCGAGCACCCCTGGCTTGTGGATGGAAATTTTAAGGCGCAGAACTTGCCTGACAAGCGCGGGGAAAGGGTAGAGAGCAGCACAGAAAGGACCTTGCGGCCCCTTTAAGGATTCTCGGCCGGGGAAGAGAGGGAGGAAACCGGGAGCCGCGGGGACGTTGGGGGAAACCCGCGAGCGCTCCAGCCAGAGAGGAGGCAGCGTGAGAGCAGAAACTTCAGACGCTGCCGATCCCGGCGGGGCTTGGGTGAACCGCGGCGGCCGTCGCTCCCACTGGCAGCAGCATCCTCCCTGCTCCTCTCCGCCACCCCGGGGAGGTCCGGAGCTGCCTCTCTACGGCTACCACGAGCCCAGGGGTGAGAGCAGCCACCCGCAGGAAGTTTGGTCTCCAGCGTAGTTTGGGGTGCCTCGCGCGTACGCGCCGGACTGTGAGGGGCCACGGACGATGCTGGGCGCTGTGCGGGGCTGGGGGCGTCCGGAAAGCCTGCGTTTGTCCGCGGTCCTGCTGCTCTCCCCAGTACCCTCCTCATCACCCAAGTGATGGGAACAAGGGCCCGCCCAGGCAGTCGCTGTCGCCGCACCGCCCGCTCGCTGGCCCTCTGCTCTCGGAGTCACCCAGGCACACCCCCGGCACCCGGAGCTGGTCGTCCGGAGCTCCTGCTGCTACCTTGGCTGCCATCATCTTTGCTGCCGGTGGCCAGCTGCTGACTGGGCTCGTTTGGAGACTGAGAAGCACTTTTTGGCGCTCCCTAGTCCATTCTCACACCCCAACTTTGCAGCCGCCGCGCCTGCCCTCGCAGCGGCGCTCGGGCGCGCATTGTGGGGGCGCACGCCGGGAGGCTCAGCAAGACCGTGGAGGCAGGAAACGGCACCACCGTTCTTCTGCTTTAGCTCTTTGTTGTTCTCTTTGGATGGTTCTTGCAAGTGTCTGAGCCTCCTCGGAAACCCTGGGGCCGGAGAAGACAAACCTTGGAATTCTTCGTCGGCAAAGGACTCTGAGATATTGACAAGCATCCGGAAAGGTGGACAAGTAATTGCCCTGAAAACTCCTGGCGGATTGACCCACGTTGCTTATATTAAGCCTTTGTGTGTAGTGTGTGTGGTGTGTGGCTTCATAAATTTGGGGACCCCATTTCTACTCCCTCCTCTTGGCATGAGACTGTATGCAGGATCTACCCGAGGACAATGATCGCGGAGCCTGCTCACTTTTACCTGTTTGGATTGATATGTCTCTGTTCAGGTAACAGCGCGTCCTCTTTCTTCATCCTTCATCTTCCTGTTTGCCCCCTCGCCACTTTTGAAAATCAAACCCTGAAATGCATTTTTCACTTTTCCCTTCTAAAGCCAGAGGGGTTCGATTCCTGCTGGACTTTTAGGCGAAAAGGTTCCTAGTTCTCATTTGGTATTGTTCCTTTTTTCCACATCCCCAAAGACCCTCCGCCCCCACCCCCATCCCAATTCTCTTCGCAGACCTGGGCCTTTCGCCAAGTTCAGGGCACGCCCAGATTACTCTGGGCAAAAGCTCGTTTAAAGCACTAGGGTGGGAGGAGGCACAGCCGTTGACTGCGAGATTGTGCCCCCAGGATGAGCCAACGTGAATATCCACTGGCTGGTTCTTTGGGGAGGGAGATGCGCGTCCGGAGACGGAGCTTGTGGCCCCGAGACTCGCCAAAATTCCAGAACCTGCTCCTCCAAATCTCCCCCCCTCTTCCGAGCACAAGGGGTTATTAGGAGTTGTTTTATGTAACCAAAGTCTGTAATTAAATTCGATTCTGAAGAAACTTCAGGAAATAACTCTTACGGTAGAAAGAAACTAGCCACTGCTTGGCTAGGAAAAGAGACGGCTGCAAGTATTTGAAAGGGTGTAGTTGCCTAGGAATTTTCACTGGTGATGGAAAACCGCTGAAGTCAGGATTTTTAGGATTAATTAAATAGCACTGAAACTCCAGATGAAGTGTTGGAAGGATGCTACAACGGGGTATTTCTGACAAAAGAGTTCACTTTGTATCTCTACTTACCAATGGTTTTCTTCCACTCCCCAAGAAACTTTTACTATGAGTGAACTAAGCCATGATTCAACTTTTCTTTCTTTCTTTTTGGTAGATTCTGGTTTCAATCACGGATCCGGTTTCAGGCCTTGAAAAACACACACACACACATACACACATGTAAAATGCATCTCAGGGAATTTTTAAAGTTGCATACTGATCTTCAAGTTGCATTAGGGCCTATAGGTTATAAGAGGCTCTCAATTTGCATAATTATGAAACAGCTTTGAAGGTTATCGGGAGCTTTTTTTGGTCTATGATTCTCTTTATGTTTTTTATGAGACAGAATCTCAAGCTGTTGCCCTGGGTAGAGTGCCATGGTGTCATAGCTCTAGCAACCCCCAACTCTTGGGCTCAAGGATCCTCTTGCCTCATTTTTTCTATTTTAGTAGAGACAGGGACTTGCTTTTTGCTCAGGCTGGTCTCAAACTCGTGAGCTCAAGCCATCTCCCATCCTCTACCTCCCAGAGTTCTAGGATTACAGGTGGGAACCACCATGCCCAGTCTCTCTTCATGTTTTGACTGAAAATTTTCCTTTATTAAATAAGGAAAGGAAAAAATAATGTACATCGACTCAGTGATAGTAAAAAAAAAAAAAAAAACTTTAAAAGAATTTTAACCCATGGGATGCTCTTTCTGACTGAAAGTTGCAAGGAACATTGGTAACTAAACTAAATTTTAAAGTCATTAAATTGTTATTCCTTTGAAGAAAACAGAAACCCATTTCAACCTCAGATATCTCATTTAGTATATCCCAGTGGATGGAAGAGTAGACATCACCAACTCTTTGTGCTTTTTTTCTTTCTTTCTTTCTTTCTTTTTTTTTTTTTTTTGCAGTTTTTGGCTGGGGCTGGGTTTGAACCCGCCACCTCCGGCCTATGGGGCTGGCGCCCTACTCCTTTGAGCCACAGTTGTTGCCCCATAACCAACTCTTTCTAGCTGTCTCTCCTCATGTCCAGCTTCTCCTTCCTATAATGCAACTTTGCAGATCTGAGTGATTGCATGTCCCCCTAATTCCCCATCCCAGCCATGGATGCAAATCAGAAAAATTAAGATCTGATCTCTCTATTTGTCTCTCACTGCTGTGTCTCCCCCTAGTTTAATTTACAGCTTCAGATGCCTTTGAGGTTTTTGTTGATTCACCTCCTCAGTTAAAGTTTATTCACGTGTGTAAAGTGAAGTGTCATAGTGATAAATGGCTGGGGGGGCAGATTACTGCAGATAGGGGGATTAATGGTCATTAGTCACTGCTTGAGCCAAGTTTGTGTATGTTGGAACATTTTATCATGGCCGTAGATTAAAGATAGGGTCACACTAATAGGGCATCAATGAAAGCTGGTGTCGTCAGTGTGCAGACTCTGTCTTCACTTAGAGAAGTGTCCGGGAGTGCACTGCCCTATCAGATTTAATAAGCTGATTAGCAGTTAATATCTGAGGGCTGTAATTTGAATAGATATGAGACATTTCTGGTGTCATTTTTTTTTTCTAATTTAATTCTACATTTATGCCCCTGGTGATTTATATAAACTAAAATTTTTCCTATAGCTGTGCTTATCTACTTTGTTTGCCAGATTCCAGGACAGAGGTGTCTTTGTGAAGCTCTCTCTCATGTTTAACCTGAAGCTTTTTATTATTCCTCTGATAACTTTTACTCACGCTGGGAAGCCAGTCAAATTATTAGGCTGCTAGGGTGATCTCACGACAGTGTTCTGTTCCAAAGTAATGCTATCGATTTGAAGAAAACTTTATAGAACTCCACTAAGTAACTAGTAACTTGGGTGTGCTCAAGACACCTGGTCAGGGAATGAATGAAGTTCTTGAAAGATTGTGTTTCATGTTTTGCCTCAAGCCTAAGATCACAGCCTATCACTTGTTAATGGAGTGTATTTAAGAGAAAGGTGGTGAGCTTAAATAAATCAAAGCGAACTGGGGGCACGAGGTACCTTCAGCATGATTTAACCTGTAAAACTTCTATTAGTTGTCAGTGCTTTTTTTCCCTGTCCCTTTGTTTCTTTTATTTAATTTGCTGCCAACTTTAAAAAGTCCTGTAGTTTTCTTCAAACGGATTATTAACTCCATTTTGGTGTGTCGATGACAGACTTAATGTTGAGGATTGTATTTAAGAGTGTTTCCTTTTTGTAGTCTTTTATTTATTAGTCTAATGCTACAACATAACTTTTTAGTCTGTCAAACTGAGATTTGGAAAAATGAGGTCTTTCTCTAGAAATTCATTATAAGTGTATTTCTTTGATTAGTTTGTGTATCTGCTTTATTTTTCTCTGGACAACTAGACCTGTGGTGGGGGTTGGGAGTGCAGGGTGTGAAGGATTCAGAAGGGATAGCCCTGAAAAAAGTCCATGTGATCTCTCATGAACTGATTCTAAGCATTTTTTTTCTTCAGAGACTTCCTCTTCTGAAATCCATCAGCTAAAACCTGCTTTTAAGTGAAAATGTGATTGAATTTCAGTTCAAACTTACAGTGAGATCTGAATTTCAAATAAAGTGGAAGTTTACTGGTGTACTTTCTCTCTCTCTTTTTTTGTGGTGAGGGGAGTGATTTTTCTCCTGGGAAGAAGAACTCTTTTTTTACATTAATAGACGAGTTGCACTATTTGAGCCGGTTGTTCTGTCTGGGTGCCTGGCATGCCTACCCCCCGCCCCACTTTTTCTCTTTCTTCCTTCTTCCCTTCAACTCTCTTTTTGGCAAGATTCAAAGATAATTTCAAAAAGTTCTGACTACTTGCTTTATAACTTTTGTGGCGTTTAAATACACATAGCTGAGTTCTGTGATAGACAGTGGAACATCCGTAGTTGACCACCTGCCTACATTGACCACCTCAAGTTGACCTAATTTTCATAGACAGCACATACACCACATGCACGGACCAGTACAGTAGGCCTAGTTCCCTACATTGACCACCAGTGTATGTTGACCAGTTTGTTACCATACCCTGGGTGGTCAACTTCTAGAGGTTCTACGATATTTTTAAATATTTTTATTTCCTGATAACTGGTCACCTCAAATAGAGACTTTTTGAGATGGGGTCTCTCTTGTTGCCTAGGCTGGTCTCTAACTCTTGGCCTCAAATGATCCTCCCACCTTAGTTTACCTAGTTGCTGAACTGCCAGAACCAAGCAACTTCCCCTGACCACTTAAGATATTTATGATTAAAATATCTTAGAACAGAAAGTTTTTTCTTGGCCTTTGCTATGAGAAATGAAATATTCCTGTGTGAGTTAAAATGTGGCAAAATGCTCAATTTCAAACTAACAATGACAGTTAATTATTTCTTCAGTTTTATATTGACTAGATATCTTCAGTTTTATGTTGACCAGATAATCTGTAATTTGGGGAACAGGAATAAGATTGAAAAGAGACTTAGGATAAAAGCTTTTCAATGAAGATTATAAACCACTGAGTCTTCATTTGTTATCTCCTGTGTTAATAAGAGATGCTAAAATAATACTTATGCTAGTTTCTGACCCTTTTAGAAACCAACAAAAATATACACTATGCTGCAAGCTTGATTTCTTATGGAAAAATATAAGGGAAGCAAAGTTATCATTCAATTTAAAAGTAAGCCTAAGGTAATTTGTAGAATATATTAGGATATTTGGGAATAAAAAGGGTACAAAAAAAGTAAGAGAGAAAAAGGAAAAAAGAAAGAAAGGGAGAGAAAGAAAGAAAGGAACAGAGAAAAGGAAAGAAAAGAAACCAGAAGCAGGAGTCTGGAAAAGCTTAGTAGAAACTGAGTTTCAGAATTAAGCTATTTTAAAATTACAGGCAAAGGTCGAGGGATGTACACAGAGGACGCAGATCTAAGTGCACCCTGTGACCACACAGAGCACAGGAGAAGTCAACCCGAAAATTTGATGTGGGTATACTCTATATTTAATAACTATATAAAGTGCTTGTGATTTTGCATTTTTAAAACAAAAAGCAATTTGAAACATGTTTAAATCTTTAATTAATAGAATAGTTTTTAAAAAGCTATGCTTAAGCCGGGCATTGTGGCGGGGGCACCTGTAGTCCCAGCTAACTGGGGAAGCTGAGGCAAGAGAATCACTTGAGCCTAAGAGTTTGAGGTTGCTGTGAGCTGTGACATCACAGCCCTCTACCAAGGGCAATAAAGTGAGACTCTGCCCCCCCCCACTGAAAAAAATGCTATGTTTAATAAGACATTAGAATATT